GAAGTGACATTTATTGGCGAGGAGGCTGCCGATTACGGAGGACCTCGCAAAGAATTTTTGGGGGCTGTCATGAGAGACGGTTCGTGAACAACTCCTCCAAGAATCCGGAAGTCAAGATGGAGAGTACGAACTGACGAACGATGTGGCACCCGTAAGACAGCACTATTATGGAGCCGGTCTAATATTCGGTAAATACGAATTACTATGACATGTATGATCTTTTACTAGTATTTGCATATTTTTGAGTTGTATTCAATGTCTCAAGCTAGAAATATATATGACCTGGGGAACTGAAAGATCTAAAAGTGTCAAACTACAAAAGTAGATAAATTTTCAATGGAATAAAGAAACCATTAACTAAACCTTATTTTGCGCATTTTGTCGTACGATTGTTCATCAGTTAAATTACTAAAAATATATCAAAACCACATAAGTGTTGACTGAATGTTCTTTTCACTTCCAGGGTTCAGTATGCTACAGGGTGGACCGTTGCCCTGTTTTCTAAAAGAGGAACAGCTCCAAACGCTTCTTAACGGACAGTACGCTTCCCTAAGAGAGTCGGAAAGACAGTTCCAATCAGGACTGGCAAAATTTGGCCTTATTGAGGTACATATATTTAACCTTATAAAACTCAACGTTGTTATGTACATATATTCATAACAAATTGTCCCGACGTATTAAACGTCAACGAAGGGTATTTCTTTATGTGGTAGGTTGTAAGGTTGACAAGCTCATTCGCTACTGTAGCTACAAAGATTTGCGCTAACTCAAGGACGAAGACCTCCAGAAAGTTTGTTACGTACACATGTCAACTTCTCGGGAAGTTTGATATCACGATTTTAGCTTTCCTTCAAAATATAGAAGCTTTTTTTTAGTTTGATCAGCTGTATATGTAAACTCGGTAACATGCATAATTTCCACTTGGTTAAAGCTCGTCAATAGAAAACCATGCCTCATTTCTGCTGAGGAAAACTGCAGTGCGTTCTTTGATGTACCCCCGTGTTGTCAAACTACTTCAGGCGCGTTTCTCTGTAGAAGGCAGTAACAGCCGGGCAGAGGAAGAGAAAGTATACAGAACCTTCATAAATTACCTAAAGGAAGTTTCAGGTGAGTAGACGACGTCACATGTAAACGGCAGAGAGTGAAAATAATAATCGCTTATTATACTCACTATATAACTCCTAGACCTTGATATTTTTGGTTCGCATGCGACGTCATGGCGGCCATGTTGGTGGTCCTCTGGGAATTAAACTTTATATTTATGCAAATATTTCGGGAAAAAAGGATTGTATTGACCATCAACATGGGTGCCTTGCCAGGTAATAGGCATGAAATTATGAAATGAACCAGAGCGTTCACGAGAAAATTTAATACTTCGATAAAACCGACAATGGACCTTTTGTTCATAGACAGTTAATCCATTTTTTCTTTATTAATGCCCAGAAAACAGGTCGCAGACAAGGGAGCACCCGAGGGCATGGTCCTGAGGGTAGAAAGAGAATGCATAATAAACTGTATTGCACCTGTATACAAGTGGGCTTAAGGATTTGTGGCAAAGGAACACATAACATAGGGCTAAAACACTTTAATTTGCATTACAGCTGGAAGAAGAGAATCTGTTACATTGGGAAAAGTGATGAAGTTTGTAACTGGCAGCGAAGCAGAACCCGTATTGGGATATGGAATAAATCCCCATATTGCCTTCAATCCTTATGCGATATCATGCCTGCCAACAAGTAACACATGCACAAACAAGCTCACTTTGCCTGTTGGAGACAAGGTGCCCCAAAATCCCGAGAAAAGTTATGAGTTCTTTGATTATGCATTTAATTCCGACGTTTTTGGTAGCATTTAATCCTTGTGTAAATGGTATTGAATGGACCCACGCAAGTGCAATCCATTATCCGAAAATTGTCGGTAACGTGGTCCTTGTTGACCTTTCAGTGCGGTTTGCTGCTTACACTTAAGTGACCTGCTTGCGGTCCATTAATGACAGCAATAGAGAAATCAATAAAGATATCATGAAACGATACAAAGAACTGGCTTTGGGTCCATACGATAAAACGGCATGGTAACTGCTTGCTTAGGTTTTAAGCTGATTAATAATGTCTATCACATGAAGATAGGGTGCTATATCCCAGTTGTCTTCTCCCTGAACGCCCGACATTCTCTCTTTAAAACTTAGCAAGGAATTGGAATCCAGTGGACACACGGTTTGAGGGACAACAACACCTTCCTCTTCACTTTCCTCCGGAAGTGTCCCCAAAGGGTCTACTCCATACGTGGAAACATCGCTCTGAAAAAGATTTGCGTGATATTTGTTTACTGAGTTAGTAACATTTACCAAGATAAGTGCGTTTAAATCACTTTGCAAAATGTTCGAAGAGTTAAGCGGGCCACGATTGGTAAAATGCATTATATCTCCAATAGAGCACGCGCCCTACTTCACGTGCATTATTAAAGTAATATTAAAACGCTCCGAGTGTATTGTTGAGGGATTGCAGTTGCGAGAAGCACGAAGCACTTCTCTCATTCGTGTTCTTAGACATTCCCACATGCTTGTATATCCCAACAATGCACTCGGCGCGTTTTTTGCTAATTTAATTTCATCCATTTTCACTAAATATCAAAAATAACGCCTGTGGCAAAGACTAGAAAGGAAC